GGAAAGAAACATCAAATGGGGAAAACATAAAAAAAATAATGTAAATAAAAAATGGGGAACACAACAAAATGGTGGAAAAAACACATGACAAATTCTGAGCAACAAATATAAAAACGCCTTTGCGGAATCCAAAGGTGTTTAAAAAAAAAAAAACAAAAATGGCCCTCAGGGGTAAAGCTTGGGAAGGATGTGCGCGTGGTGACACATCCGGGCAGATAAGTAAATGTACAAAAATATAAGTTCTAACTGAAAAAATAAAAAACAGTTTTAAAAATACATTTACAAGATCCATTTTACATAACTACACAAACCTCCACTCACCACGCCTTGCGCCTTTTTTTTTTTTTTTTTTAAAAAATTTTTTTACGCATTTTCACTTCACCTTTTCGTGGGGCCAAAATTCTGTGAATTGTCCTCTAGCGGTTGAAAGGCAGCTTCGACGCCGCAAAAGATACAGGGGTGGCGCCACAGGAAAAAAAAAAAAATAAATAAAAACAAATAAAATAAGGCAAAACAAAAACGAAGGTGCACACGGATCACATGCATACTACTGAATGCTTAACGCGTCATCGGCATAATATTATATCATGGCTACCTCCCGCACAGGGAGATTTTTTCTTTTTTTTTTTTTTTTTTTTTTTTGAAAGTGCTCAGGGGGGAATGCACGCCGTGGGGCACGGGAAAATACGCGTAAACAAGTACATAAATTTTCCCGCAAGTATGTGTCATTCTTTTTTTTTTGTTCCCCACCGTTAGTTCATTCTCTCATGTGGCACATCTCTGCCTTTGTAGCGCCCCCTTGAGATATACAACCCAGCAGTAAAAAAAAAAAAATGACAAGAGTGACCAAAGCCATCGTGCAGCAACACAAAGTGAGGAAATAATACAAAGTCAGGGCGCCAAGTTCCAGCTGGTTTACCCTTCCCCCTTGTGTGCAACTTGTGAGGAAGCCATTTTGAATGTCGTCACAAAAGGGAGTGTGGTGTCATATAAAAGTCTGCCCATAAAACGGGGTTGAAACAGAAAACAAAGAAGTTTAAATGGATAAAAAAATGGATAAATGTGGCTGGGAAAAAGTGTGCACCGCTGCGTTGACTGTTCTGCTACCGAGGCAGCTTCACACTTAAGAGCCTCACTACTTCTGTCCCCGCCCCCCCCCCCCCCCCTTTAAGTATAATCATATCCCCCGGGTGAGCTAAAACCCCTTGGGGTACACATCTTGGAAAAACTTTATTTTAACAAACAAGTAGAAAAAGTAAAAGAGCACCGCAAAGGTAACAATCACTAAAACAAAAAAATTGATGCACGCGATGATGGATATGTCATTAAACGCATCTACCTCGAACATGTTTATGAAAAAGGTTGGGACGTATTTGAGGAGATTATCGTAAAATGGGGAGGACCCATCGTCCTTGGAGAATGATTTTACGTATTCTATGTACGTGAATCTAGCGAAGTAGGCGTAGAACCCGTTGTTCAGCTCAGATGTAGAATCTCCCAACTGGTTCAGGAAAATGTTAAAGACTTGGATGGGCGTCGGTTCCTCCGCATTGCTTCTCTGGTTAATTATGATCGTCGCTTTGATTCCGTTCTTCATCTTCTGTATGGGCTTCACGTGTATGCGCGTCGTGAGCGCGGGATCGATCACCTGAAGGGGGGAAGCAAAGTGGGAGAAAAAGTGGGTATAACAACATTTGGAAGGCATGTGTGGGTGCACAAAACTGGGATGCTCAAAAAAAAAAAAAAAAATGAGGCATCTCAACAATAGAGTGCCAATTTGGACGCTTCACCACCCACAAGGGGGTGGAGAGGTTCTTACGCTCCGCCTTACACTTTTGATGACCTCCTTAAAATACTCAGACATGGAGCCAAACACGTTGGTGTAGAATTTTTCCTTCTTCGATGCATCATCCTCATCATTGGAAAAGTCAGGTTGAAAATTGTTGAAGATGCGCAAGCCGATCTTAATGCCCTTTAGTGGGTGCAGGCAGTTGTTTAAAACACGCACATAGGGATAAGGGCATAGGCACACGTACCTATTTTGAGCAAAAACACATTTTCCTGGTTCCTTGCAGCTTGATTCACCAGATAGGATACACTCGTTGTTTTTTTCACAAAGCGAGCTCATGGGATTTCTTGAATAGCCCTCGATACAGACGCACCTACCGTCAACACACCTTTCGTTGAAGTAGCAGAATCTTTTGTTTTGTTCACAAAAGGGGTAGATGCAATTGTTGGTTTGCTCATTGTGCTTACTCCTGAGCACGTCGCAGAAGCAGAGCAATTTGCCGTTCATTTCGAACGCGTGGTTCTCTGCGCAGGGGGGTGACTTTTGTTCATCGCGTTGGTCAGGGGCGCCGCTCTCATGCTGCCCTCCGTGATGGGCGTTATGGCCGTTCACATGCTGCTTGCCGTGATGGGTGTGATAGGCGTCATGGCCGCTCGCATCCTGCTCGGCGTACCCGTTGGTCATTTTACGGTAAATCATAAAGTTCTGGTCATGCCTTTTTATGAACGCCCCCGCTATGGTGCTATGCTCATTCTTCTTCACCTCGTTGTACTCCTCGTAGCTGTACGAAATGACACTAATGGGGATATAGGGGTTCCCAAGAATGAAATACTCATTTAAAATTTCCTCCTTAATGTCATACTCTTTATTTGTGGAGTGATCTAAAATGTCTACCCTCTTTCTGAGCGGGATAAGTATTAACAAGTTGTTCTTGCTCACATTCACCATGGTCCCACTGATCTTCGCAGTGACAATAAAGTTATTCGTTCTGTCTCCCGCAGATATGAAATGAGCAAAAGCATAGTTAATGCAAATTTTTGAGCTTTTTTTGAAGAAGCTCCTGTTCTTTAATATATTATTCAACACCAGTGGGATATCGTATTGGTTACAATACTTTTTTGGCTTTATAAAGACTAGGGGGCTTATTACGTAAAATGTGTACTCTGGTGAAGTGGTCAGCAGATATAAATAAGTTAGGATGATCCTAGACTTGTGAAACATGCAGAGGTGGTTTTTCTCAAATGTCATGTCTTTGCAAATGTCTACTAACTTTTCATTTTGAAATTGTCTCGTCTTGTAGGATATTTCCAGGGGGTCATTAAAAAAATTGTAGTTTTTCATTTTTTCATACAAGTTTTTTTTTTTTTTTTTTATTTTTTTCATAAATCGGTGGCGTAGCTGCAGGTACTCGCTCACCACGAACTCTCCCTTGGACTTATTGATCATGCTTTCATAGCACAGACAGCTGTTTTGCTGTGCGGCGAAGTGGTTCATGAGGTCCGCGTTGTTTTTGAGCGCGTCGGGCTGGCCCCCCAACGTGTGCTTCCCACCCGCGGCGTACTGCCCATCCCCCGCGTACTTCCCCTCCACGGCGTACTTGTCCTCCACGGCGTACTGCCCATCCCCCGCGTACTTCCCCTCCACGGCGTACTTCTCATCCCGCGCGTACTTGCCATAGAGGCTGTACCTGTCGAAGAGCAAGACGCACTCTGGCTCGTACTGCGCAAATGCGTACAGCTTGGTGTTCCAGAAGGTATAATATTTGGTAATATTGTGGGGGTGATTCCTCAGGTACACATTTTTAAATATTCTATACACATAAATGACCTTGTGTTTCCTGTTCAGTTCTCCAATGATGAATATAACTGATGCCATGTAGGACACGATGAAGATGCTAAGGGAGAAAAGCTTCTCCGATTTTATGGTGACGTGGAAGTCCCCAAAGTGTTTATTATGGAAGCGGTTTAGGAAGGCAGCTATGGGGTCCACCACATCATTTCTGATTGTAGGAAGAGACTTGAAATATGTGTTCTGATCCTCGTAGGTGAGGTAGGGGGCACTCCATCTTTGGGTCTCTTCTTCACCTTTTTTGTTGGGGTCCACTTGAATGGCCCTCTCCTCTGAGCAGAGCGTTCCAGACTTGTCTCCGGATAGGTACGCCACCAGGATCGCGTGGTGTATGTTCAGGTGGCGCAACTCGTAAATCAGCTGAATGTATATGGAGTTCTCCTTCTCCAGGCAAAACATCTGTGAGGTGGGCAGAGCGAAGCGGTGGTGACTTGGCGATGGCAATGCAGAAAGAGTCTCTCATTACGCGCTCTCCCGTCCACCCCCTCTTCTCATCATACATCGTTCCCAAAGTAAAGAATTATGATGAGGTACTTGACCAACTGCTTGTCCTCGTTGAACGGGATGAGGTTGTTCATTTCGTCCAGCGTCAGCTTCACCTGGGGGGTGGGGCGGTAAAGAAGTAGAAGAATGAGACAGTTACAGTACAGTGAAACAGCTCCTCCACATCTCTGCACACTTCGTGCCGGCTGCACCCGATAAGAGCCACATAGACACGCGGCCGTATAAGAAAGACGCACTGCGCTTCGCACCCACCAGACGAAGCAGAATCCGCTGGCTCTCCCTGAACAAGGAATCCAGCTCGGTGTGCTCGTAGTAGTGCTGGTGCAGGTCTAGTAGGTTGACCAAAAAACTATGCAGCTGGTAGTTATAACAATTGAAATTGTATAACATATCGTAGTGCGACCTCAGAGTGGCGATCTTGAGTAACATGGAAATATGTTTTCCCCCACAGTCAAACAGAGCCTTGAAGAGCCTAGATAGGACCTGCTGGAACTTTACATAATTAGCTGATGGGATGACAAAGACATCGAACACATCCATGCGAGTTCTTTTCTTGGGGTCGTTTAAATGTTGAATTTCCTTTTTTGTTATTTTCGTGAAATACATTTCGTGATTGGATAACTCCTCCTGTGTGAATGTGCTGATGTGGCTGAGGAGTGCTGCCTCGAATGGGATGCTTTTGTGGAGGGAGAAGTCCTTTAGAGGGTTGTATCTAGCGAAGAGGACGTACTTGAAAATGTCGTGGCTTAGGTATAGCAGGTACACATTTGAGATGATTTTGTTTTCCATCGTCACGACATCGTAGGGCCTGTTCGCGTAGCTCGCGCTTCTGAGAAAAAAAAAGGAGGTAAGCACCGTGGGGGAGCAGCAAAACAAGCTCGCAGGAAACGCGCACGAAAGTAAGACCAATATAGCGCGGGGTGTGGCGATCAAGGCGCCCTAAGAAGGCAAATCGCCCCTCGTGTGTGTATATTTTACTCGCGCAGGTAGGAAAAAATCTTCCGCATCGCCGTGACGTATAACATTTTCCCCTTGCTGATCCAGCCAATCAAATTATCCTTCATAAAAAAATGAGTGTACTGAGAAAAGTACTCATGGGATGCCAAGTAAAAAAAAGGAATGGACAATTTCATGGGGTCTCCAAACCCTACAATGTAGTCCATTAGAATGAGACTTATTTGTTCCTCATGGTACATGACCTTGATCAGAAAAACACGATTATATTTTCTATGGTCAGACAAGTTGTATCTTCGCTTTATCCTTTCATATTCTACACGCACACTCTTATCTGTAACGTACGGAAGAGACCACTGCTCATCCTGGGAGATGCTTCCACAAAAAATGACCTGGTCCAAAAATTTAATTTCATCATTTGCAATCAAAATAAATATGTTATTGTTAATAAAATAATTCTGATCATTCAAATCGAGTGTCATTCGTATCAGATTGTTCAACTTTTTTTTTTTGTAATCCTCTTGGAATGGGAAATACTTTAACTGATCATACCTGCCTTTATATTTATCAATGTGTGACAGGATGTTCAGGTTGGTAAATGAATTCACCAAGAGAACATTGCTCCATATTTTTTTTTTATTTATGTCTTCTGTGAACTGTCTGCACTTTTTCTTATCGAATGTGACATTTGGCATGTCTTTGATGTGCGGGGGGATGTTGCTTTCTCTTGGCGGTTGGGTTTTGTGCGGATCGGAGAGTTGGCCTACCTCGTTGAGTTGTGTTCCCACCTCATGATCATCACTCCCTTCTCCATGCGGATCAATTTCCCCCGTTTTCAAATTCATAAAAAAGTTGTCTACCATTTTGCTATTCAGCGAAGCGTTTCCCATGACCAGGTCATCAGTGGCCCCACTTGGCTGTCCACTTTTCTCCCCCTCACTTTCCTCATCGTCTCCTATTTCATCATAGGCGTAGTGTATCCTGTTGTCGCGCAGGAAATTTTCTAGTATTGAATTTTCTCGGCTGTCCACAACGGGAGAGTCCTGTGGGCAGTCGGAGTCTTCACAGCCATGAGAGTGGTTATCCCCCCCGTGGTAGCTCCAACCACTTGCAGAGCTCTCCCGGACATGCACACTGTTGGCACCCACCTCCAACGAATCACCTTTCCCCTCTGGAACGTAATGCATGTCGATCATTCTCTCATAGGACCCTTTGTAGTCTGTCTCTTCAGACTGGTCATATATAAAGGTGTGTCCATAAATACTTAGGAAATTCATTTCGTCCAGGAAGAGGCAATTTATGCAGGACCCCACTGCCTCATGGGGACTAATCTTCCTTTCCACAAACGATTTTTTATTTTGTTTGTAGCGGTCATAATAATTATTATCAAATTTGAATGTGGAGTTGAAGGAGAAGCTAAATGTATTGTTTGGGTCGCACTCGTTATCATGTGTGTAGTATATTAAATCGTTGAATTCTTTTTGCACACACACTACTCGGTTGTTCCTGCTCGACGTTTCCACAAGGTATTTGTAGTTTTTGTCCATCCACATGTCTTCGCCTCCTCCTCCAGCTGCTACAGGTGCTGTTACTGCTGCTACTGCGGCACCTCCCTTGTCCGAGTGGAACATTCTTTTCGGTCCCTCCTGGTGGTTGGAGCCATATCCACCCCCCTTCACGTTATTCTCCTCATTCCTCACCGCTATCACTCTCAGCAGCAGAAGGGACAGCAGTCCAAGCAGCATGGCTGTGGAGAAGTTCACTTAACTTGGGAAGGTTAAGATGGTATTTTTTTTTTTTTTTTTTTTTTCCCCATTATATAGCACACATCGTTGTGGAGCGTAGTTCTTGTGGACGTGAATAACTCGCGGAACTTTTCAACGTTGGACATACACATGCTATCATTTCAACACGAAGACAGTGTATGACAGGGAGGAAGGAGGAGGGGTGCTTTCAATGTTCCTTTCCACGCTCTGCAGCTTTCCACTTGTTTTAATTTGCGCGCACATGGGCACCCCGCCACGCATGACGACTCGGTGAAGCTGCCGCGCAGAAAATGGCTCATCAGAATTGCCACATCAAAATTGCCGCTTTACCTTTTACCGTTCGCCAACTTTGACGTGCTTTTCCTCATCCATGGATGGGACTTATTCTCCTTAACCCTCCCATACCCTATTCCCACGAACACTGCGCGCAGTTATGACACAAAAAATTGTTAGCTCACAGAGGGGCGAGACCCTACGCGAGGTTTCACCACAGCGTTACACCCTTTGTGCTAGACACCTATGATTTAAAAAGTGAAGTGACTTCCCTACCTTCATATAACGCATACCATGACGCACCACCTGTTTTGCTGTGTTGCCTGAGGCGACTAAGGAGCTACACCGTGGGAGATACTAACCGACTAGTTGTGTGTCATGATCCTTGCGGTGAACAGTAAGACCTCGTTTTTTTTTTTTTTTTTTTTTTTTTTTTTTACCCCTTTGGGAAAAATCAATTTGAAGCGTTTTATAAAGCTGAACATACACAGTTGAACATGCAGGGGTAAGCATAGACCTTTTTGGATGGGTATGGGATTAACCCCCCTGGTGAGCTTCCACATGGCCCCCACTTCTCATTTCCCGAGTATCATCCGTCCAGCCCCATTTTAAGATGGCACACAAATTAAAAAGTAGAAAAAAATTTAACCTTCCTGATACGAAAGTTAACTTCTTTACAGTTTCGCATTTCATCCCCATTTGGGAAAATAGGAATTAGCATTTTGAGGGGGACGGCGTTTATTTATTTTTCTTTTTCACTGCCCATCCTCCCCCTGACCGTGCGATGTGACAAGCATACATTTTTAAGCATTCGCAAAAGGGGGTCCCTTTTTTCTTTTTGTTCCGTCATTTTTTATATATAATAAATCGACAGGTGGATGCGTAAAAATACGTTAATATGGAATTCACCTTATAGCTGTTTTTTTTTTTTTTTTTTTGTTTTTTTGTTTTTTTTTTGTCCTCATCCTGAGGTCACAAAAAAGTATAGTGGTTACGTTGTTATTATAACACTGCTGACATCGGGGCTATTATATATTATATGTAAAATGACACGCACGGCGCATTAGGGCAAAAGATTAATTGAGAAGCGACATTGCTTTTCACGCCGTGAAGCGAGCGGAGCATACCATGCGAAGCAGTGACGACCCATTTTCCCAAGTCGATATGCGACTGGAACAGTGCGAGCCACATTGAGAAGTTTAAAAAAAAAAAAAACAAAAAAAAAACCACATATAGAGTTCGTTAGTGACACCGCAAAAACGTACAAATAATACTTGCGTATTTTCTTCCAAGTGGTAACTGTGGAAAAGCAACCCTTACGGGCGTAAAAAAAAAAAAATACATCCTAACATGGGAACCTTTTAAATTCAACAAAAAGTGAGATAAACTGGCTTCCCACTTGACAGATTAATCTTTGGACCAGAGCATTCGTTGCTGACCGAGCCAGGTTGTGTTAAGGTTTATTGCTATACTTTTACGAATGTACTTTTAAAGGCGCATATTTATACACGCTGCAGGGGTTCAGCCCTCGCCAGATGAACAAATAATTATAAAAAATTGTGAACGTATGAGTTATATAACCTTTACACGGCGCCACGTGAACAAAATCCTTTTATTGGGCTAAATTTTAACTTTGGGTTTTTCTTCCCCCCTCCAATCCAAACTAAGTTGCCGCTGCGCTTTAAAGAGACCCAATTGGGGAAAAAATATAAAAAAAAATAAAATAAACACATAAGTACGTACCTACGCAACTTTACGTGTTTGCTTGACCACCTCCCAAGATGAGCGTCAACCGGTATAACTTCAAAACGCTGAGCTCCCTGTTGAAGGACAAAACGCCGCAGCACTTCGACATCCTGCCGCATACGAGCATCAAGTGCGTAGTGCATCCCTCTGTAATATTTACAATTTTGGATGCCTACCTGAGAAGAGATGAAGACCAAACGCATGTCATTGGAACCCTCATGGGGTGCGTCATCGACGCCAACCTCATTGAAATTTCAGATTGCTTCGTCGATAAGCATTCGCTCAATGAAGGGGTAAGTGTCTGCGCATGTGCCTCATCCCCCAGGGGTAGAGAAAAAACCTGTTTTTTCATTTCCCCCTCCTTTATATTATGTGATACCCTGTTGGAGCGAAGTGTCTTGTTTAGTTGGGCATGCCAAGCGTACGTCCTCATGTTATATAACACCCGCTTATATACCTCACACGTCTTACCCGCAGGGATTTCTCCAAATCATTAAGGACCACCACGAAACGATGTATGAGCTGAAGCAGAAAATTCGCCCCAGAGATCAGGTAGTCGGTTGGTTCTGTTCTGGTTCTGAGTTATCCGAGCTGTCGTGCGCAGTGCATGGCTGGTTTAAAGAGCACAACTCCATTTCCAAGTTCTACCCACACTCACCCCTAAACGAACCGATACATCTACTAGTGGACGCTGCACTAGAAAGTGGCTTCCTTAACATCAAGGCCTACGTACAACTACCCATCACGCTGGTAAAGGAATACTTTGTCCATTTTCACGAAATACAAGCGGAGTTACTCCCTAGCAATGTTGAAAGAGCAGAGGTGTTGCAGTACCAAGAGAAAGGCTTGTCTGGTAAGGACAAAGACAGCCATATGCATGGCAACAAAAATAGTGTCCTTCCAAACGATATGAATGAAATGTCCTTAAAAAAATTGTTAATTATGTTAAAGCAGTGCAAATCGTATGTACAGGATGTTATTGATAAAAAAAAGAAGGGGAACCTAGACGTTGGTAGATACCTACATAAGGTCTTCTCCAATGATTCTTTTTCGACTTTGGAAAAATTTGACTCGATTAATGAGAGCATCTTACAAGACAATTTGATGATTTCGTATCTGTCCAATCTTGCTCATTTGCAGTTCCTCATAGCCGAAAAGTTAAACGCGTCGTCATTGCAGTAACGTGTCTGCAGTGATAAAATAGCGGCGAAGGAGGAGGGAAAAAAAGAAAAAGAGGCTTGTGTATTGGGATAATCACCCTGTTCTGTGGACACATACAATGTAGTCACGACAATGTGTATGCTGCATGGTCCTCCTCGAACAAGTGTGCATATGCATTTTTTTTTTAATTAGAACACGAATTAAAAGTTGTTAAATTGTTAAACATTTTTAAATTCATTAGTTATTTTTTTTTTTTTTCCATTTTGGCTAGCTAGCCAGGTAGCTAACTAGCTATTTTTTTATTTTATTTTTTTTCACACGATTTTTAGCCATTCTTTACGTTTAGCTTTTGACAACTTTGTTTATGATTTCGAGCTGAAATTTTTAACTAGTGAGAAACTTATCTCATTAAAAAAAAATGTAACATTGGTCCCTTTGACGGTGTAGCGCAGGGTGAATAGGGGGCGAGAAAGGCGGGTGGTATGTTATACATAGTGGGGGAGGGTATCCACTGAAATGGCCAATTCGTTCCTCCTGCCCCTTTTCCGCAGCTGTGTTCGACGGAACCATGTTAAATGCTTCCCGTAGCGCACTTGTACCCGTCCTGTGAAGAAACATCGATGTAACGTAACTGCCTCAGCTTAGTAGGAAGAATCGGACAATCCTTTAGCGGTTTGGCTACTCACAGTGTGCGTGCCATTTTACGGAGGAACACCCAAATGGGGATTTTCCTTTTATACAATTTGTTAACTTTCGTTTTGTGAAAATCGGATGGGGTTCATTTTTTTTTTTTTTTTCCTTCTAATTTGTGACAAATGACTTATGCGTAGCTGCAAGGCAGGGTGTTAATGTGTGCACATGTTCTCCTATTTTGTTGCTGCGCCGACCGCATGGGGGCTACAACCATATGTGCTATTTTATTCGTATAGCACGCACTGCAACTGGCTCGGTCATCGCCATGCCAACAGCACCCCTTTACGGACCCGGGTACGGCCAGCAGATGGAAAAAGGCACACGTTGACAGCATATGACCAAGTTCCCATGCGTGACTTTTTTTTTTTTTTTTTTTTTTTTTTTTCCCACCGGAAGGAGGAAATAAGCATGGCGAGGAAGTAATCTGAATAATTAGATACTTGTTCGCACAGAATGAAAAAAGCAAAACCATCTGAACGAAGAGGAAAAAAAAAAAAAAAAAATACACAGAAATGAAAATATATAATGCATTTATTCATCCTTTATGAAGTTCTTATCCTTTCCGTGTTCTTCCAATGCATATATAATTACAAATTTGTAACAAATTTCTATTACTCGGAAAAAAGTAAGGGAAAAAAAAAAAAAATGACATCATATATTTTTGATTCTTCTTCAAACCAAAATGGATACACACATGTGTACTTCTGCACATGCACAGAGGTGTACTAACGTTTGGCTCTTTTACCTCATCTCTGCCTGTTCCCACTACCACCGATGTGTAGTCCCCTTCGATAAAAATGGAAAAGACGTAGGCTTGCCTAGCGGGGTGCACAAGACGAAGGAGGTAACTCTCTTTGCTTCGTTAAAATAGTTCACCATCACAAGGGCGCAGTGCATAGAGGGACAGCCCCCCCCGAGCCGTTCTCCCCAGTGGACATATCTACTTGCCTTATCTGCACACGACCACTGCTCCGACCTAAGTTTATACTTACAGAAAATGCCCCCCTTCAGGTTCGAAAGAAACGAAATTCCCAACTCAACATGGTGAAGAAATTTATCAACGCCAGGGACCCCAACGACCCCCAGGAGTACCTCAAGGACATTCC